TCCTGAGTAGCTGGGATTATAGGTGCCCACTACCATGGCTTGCTAATTTTTGTATTTTTAGTAGAGATGGGATTTCATCACGTTGGCCAGGCTGCTTTAGAACTCCTGACTTCAAGTGATCCGCCCACCTCGGCCTCCCAAAGTGCTGGCATTACAGGTATAAGCCACTGCACCTGGCCTTATTTATCTTTATCTTTGTCCTCTGTATATAACTTGTGATTTTTCTCTGATTGTTTTTGTGATTTTTCTCTTTTTTGCTAGGGTCAGGTAAATTGATTATGATGTACTTAGGTGTAATTTTCCCTATGTTTCTTATGCTTTGAGGTCATAGAACTTCTTGGATATGTGGGTTCATAATTTCATCAAATTGGAACATTGTAACCACATTTACTTCAAATATGTTTTCTGTCTTTTCCTCCCACATCCACCCTCAGAGATTCACATCCATGTATATTGTAATTAGAACCACCCTTCAAGGTGTCTCAAAGCTCATGGAAGCTCTTTTTCCCCCTCAGTCACTTATTCTGTGTTTTCATTTGGATAGCTTCTATTGCTACATCTTCAAATTCTTTAGTCTTTTTTTCTATAGCATCTAATCTGCCACTTTTCTCATCAAGTATAATTTTTCAGGCACTGTGTTTTGAATCACTTGAAATTCAATTCGGGTCTTTTTATAACTTCTTTGTCTCAAATTAACTTGGTCAGTCCTAATTTTAACTTCATAAATATGTGGAATAGAGTTAAAACAACTTTTAACATGCCCTTTCGTATTACTTCTGTCATCTGCATCATTTGTGGATTGAGTTTCACTTAGTGTCATTTCTTTTCCTGTGAAGCATAATTTTCTGCTTCCTGTCAAGAACTGTGAAGACTCTGAGATTTTACCCTACTTGAGTTAGTTAGCCATAATTCCGTGAATGCTGACTGAGGACAAAGACTCCTGGACAAAGATAAAGAATAGTTTATTGTTCGGAGAAATCACAATAACCAGAGTTTTAATATCTGTTCTCGGAGTCCCAGTTCCCAGATGGTGCCATAGGTGGACCAGCTAATTCCTGCACACTCAGTGGGTAATATCATAGGGGAGGAATCTTAAACTTGGAGAATGTATTAGTCTATTTTCATGTTGCTACGAAGCATGGGTAAAGACTGGGTAATTAAAAAGAAAAGAGGTTTTATGAACTCACAGTTCCACATGGTTGGGGAGGACTCATGGCTGAAGGCAAAGGAAGTGCAAAGGCATGTCTCGCATGGTGGCAGGCAAGAGATCATATGCAGGTAAACTCCGCTTTATAAAACCACCAGATCTCGTGAGACTTATTCCCTATCATGAGAACAGCATGGGAAAGCTCACCCCTATGATTCAGTTACCTCCCACAGGGTCCCTCCCAATATGTGGGGATTATGGGAGCTACAATTCAAGATGAGATTCAGGTGGGGACACAGCCAGACCATATCAGAGAATCTCAAGATCCTCTGAACATTTTATAATGGACAATAAGTATGTCTGCTCTTTAATCTGAAGTGAGACATGATCCTTTTCAAGGATACAAGCAGTGCCTTTTCTCACAAAATATGGAGACAAATGATAGATGGATGGAGAGTTGTCTTGCAATACTTCTTTGCATGCCTGGTAATTTTGTTGATTTTACTTTGTTGGGTATGAGATATATTTATAATTTTTATAAATATTTTTGAGCTTTATTCTAAAGTGCAATTAAGTTACTCAAAAATATTTTGATTCTTTCAAGTCTCACTTTTAAGCTCTACTGGGGAGGACAAGAGCAGCATTTAGTCTGTGGCCTGTTTTGCTCCAACACCAAGGCAAAAACCTTCTGAGTTCTTCATGAACATTCAGGCTCTCCGGTCTGGCTGGTGGAAATAGGCACTTCTAGCCCTATGTAAACTCCAGGTATCACTCTGTCAGATCTTTTTTAGTGTTCCTATCCACTTGAAGACCGAGGGGTTCCTTCTGTAAACTTCTGAGCATTTCCTCTCTGGAGCTCTCTTCTCTGTAGAATGCTGCCTCACAAACTTTAGCTCCCCTGACCTCCCAGGAGTCTCAGCTCTGTCTCTTCAACATAGTTTGCTGGGCTCTCCCTAGGTTCCTCCTCTTTGCTCCACAGCCTGGAAACTCTCCAGGTAGCCAGCTGGGCAATCACAGGAATAACCTCGTTTCCTGACTCTCAGGGCCACTGAGAATTTCAAAGTTACAACACTAGTTGGTACTTTTACTCTTTATGTTAATGGAAAAATATCACTTAAAATATCAACTGAAAACTGATTTACCTCATTCCCATAAATGCCTTTATTGTGGTATATTTTAATGTTTTGCATATCTTAACTCCACAAGACATTATTGCCATTCCTGATTTATACCATCAATATTTATTTAGACTTATTCAATAATTACCATTTACCTTGCTCTTAATTCCTTCCTTTATCTTTGGCCTTCTATCTGGGATTAATAGCTTTCTACTTGCAGAATACCAGAATTCTCTGGTGATAAACTGTGCCTTTTTTTTTTTTTTTTGGTCCCAAATGTCCTTAATTAACCTTTACTCTTGAAACATACTTTTCCCCCTGCGTTTGGAATTCTTGGTTCACAGCTATTTGTGGTTGTATCATCTTCTTATTTTCATTATATTTATTGAAAAGTCTGCTATCAGTCCAACTGCTTGAAGATAGCTTTTCAGATGCTCTGTTTATCTTTGTTTTCAGGAATTTTACTATGATGGGTCTTGTTGTATATTTATTATTTATAATAATTATATTTACTTATTTGTTTACTATAATGGGCATTTTTGTAAATTTATTTATTTATTTATATTGTTTCTGCTTGGAGTTCAAAGAGCTTTCGTAACATTTAGCCTAATATCCTTCATCAGTGTAGGAAATTCCTCACCATAATTTCCTCAATTATTGCTTCTGCCCAATTGCCTCTCTCTTTCCTTCATGGGACTCCAACTGTACTTGTGATAGGCTGTCATCAGATCCTTAATATTTTTTTCCCTTTCTTTAGTATTTGCCATCCTTTTTTCCCCTACCATTTTTAATTTGGGGTATATTTTCACCTACCTTCTAGTTGACAAATTTTCTTTCACCTGTGTCTTATATGTTGTTCTGTCATAAATTCATTCATCGAATTCTTAGTTTCAGTTATAGGATCATTTACTTCTAGATTCTTTCCTTGCAAAATTTATTTTGTTTTGAATTTCCAGTTCTCAGCTAAAATTTCCAATCTTACCTTCATCTCCTTATATAGTCTCAGCAAAATTATCTAATACTTTGTGTTTACAGCTCTAATATTTTCAGTGCATATCGGCTTACTGCTCTTGCCTTATTGTTTTGTTTTTCATGTTACCTTTGTTCCTTCATTTTTTCTGGGTATTTTTTATGTGTGTGCTGGACATTATATTTTGCAAATTATTTATATAAATGATTTGAAGTCTATGACACTCTTTTTCGCTCCTAGTGAATATTTTACATTTGCTTTTCTTAGATGCTCTGAGGGGACTAGCAATCAGGGCTGGTCTTAGCTTAATATGGGGATTGAGATGATTTGAAGCTGGGCAGCAGTCACTGAGAAGACCAATCTACTGCTCATTCATTCTTCCTGCTAGGATATATATCTTTGGGGTTTCAACCCCAAAACAGAGAGTTTATCAGGGGCCATTGCCTTTTTCAGCAATGGAGTTCCAGATACCTTCTGCAGAATCAGCAAATGCCTTAAGGTAAAAACAGTTTCAAATTCTGAGTTCGAGTATCTGGAGATTCATTGCCTCCCAGAACTTAGCCTGACAGTTCTTCAGTATCTTATCAGCTCATTGATGCCTTCAAACAGTCTCTCTCTCTCCATATGTGTATAATATATAACATATAAATAGACATATTTTTGTCTAGTTGTCAGTAGGAGAAGTGGTCTAAATTATTTAGGCTTTTATTATTGAACTCTGGTCTCTTTCTCATTTTCAAACAGCACATACTATAAATGTCAAAGTTAAAGACACATATTTAGGTAAGATATTTTGATACTAATTTTGAATAGTTATTTCAACATTATCTGATAGAACATAATTACTTCAACATTTTCATACATTTAATTAGCCTCTTACCATATAGTCTCTTTCACATGTGCCTTCCTCAGTCTTGAGTTTTGCCTTACTTTCTGTATTTATTGTTTTTGCCCAGGCCTTCTGTTAGTTTATTCAGAAAGGATACCTGGATGGCATATTTTTTTTCTCTTTGTATTCCTGAGAAAATATTGCTCTGACTTTATGTATAAATAATTACTTCATTAAATATGGAAACTGTGTCCTTTAGAACTCTGGAAACTATGACTCCATTTTTTCTAGTGTTTAGGGTTGCGGAAGGACAGTGAAAGCTAATCTGATTCTGATGGTTTTAATTACTACCTGATTTTGATTATGCTTAAAGAGACTTTCTTTATCATTTACCTTCAGAAATTCCATAAAGCTATGCAAGTATCTGCTTTCATTTGAGTTTTTCCTTTGCCTATAAATATAACGTGTACTGTCATGTTTTGGGTGGAAAAGTGGTTTATATTAGGACTTTTTTTCTGTTATTTTTCTAAAGGTTGTTTCATTTCTGTTTGTTCTATACTTCCTTCTTGATATCCCAAGAATATGTGGATTTAATACCCTGCATTTATTCTCCATGTTTTTTCAATGAAAATATTTATTCTCATTGTTATAACACATTCATCTCAGTGTTTGCAAACTCAGTGCTTACAGAATTTAGGCAAGTAACAATAAACAAAATAAATGAAGCCAGCCTGGTACAAAAGTAAAGAGGGAGGAAGGTTCTGGAAAGCAAAAGTGTCACCTAAAGATGGCAGCTACTGATCGACTGGTATTCAGTACTAATAAAGTGTTACTGGAATTCAATTTTTTTTTCCAGAAAAATTCAAGTCTGTGGGTTTTTCTTTTCTGTTTCCTAGCAGAGGAAAGGAAAAGCTGATAAAGGATCTCACAACTTACCATCAGGGCGATCTTGGTCACACACAGAATGATCTGTCACTTCACCACCTTTTGTAGTACTGTCATCCTTTGCAGAATCTAACAACAAACAAGTAAAACGTTTAGTCAGCATTTTTAACTTGGAACTAGAGCAGCTTTCAACACTAACATGATAGATTTATGTTTGAGGAAAAATAGAATTTATTCGTTTTAAAAATAACCATTCAAATACATACGTTTGCCAATAAATAAGCTTTTTTTTAAAAAAAAAATAGTACTATGTAAGATATCTGCTAAAAGCTTGCAAAGGTAAAGATGTAGCTGGGATATTTTTTTGTGATGAATAAGAAAATATAAGCAGGCTTTTTGCATCAGGGAATGTCTTAGAATTGCAGGAAAGGATATAAAAGGAAGGCAAAATAGAGAAGATTAAAGGACTATCTGATTTTGGTGTTCTTAGTGCTTCCATTACTGTGTTTGCTCACATATGGGAGCCTTGAGTCCTTGAAAAAGTCAGATACAGAACCTTGAAATCCAGTGGTAATTAAGTTCATCTTCCTCGGGAAGCGTAGCAGTTGAACAATAGCATCGAGGGAATGCAGACCTTCTAGGCCCTGCAATGTCATTTCCTCCGTCATTTAGCTCATTTAAACATGGAATCATCGTACACTTATCTTTATTTGTTATAGGATATGGTTACAGGAAAAAACATGGCTAAAAGGATTCTGTGACTATGGGCTATTGCAAAGCTGCAAAGGGCTCCTTGCTGAATGTTTAGGCCTCCTGGAGGCGGTTTAGAAAAGCATTGGAATGATCCTGTGAATGGATCAACAGGAAGACAGCAAGTAGGTCTCGCATTCATTTCCCAGACATTTATTAATGGTTACGTATATGCCAGACACTTTTCTTAGACAGAGTCTTGCTCTGTTACCTAGGCTGGATGCAGTGGTGCAATTGTAGCTCACTGCAACCTCAAACTCCTGGGCTCAAGTGATCCTCCTGTTCCAGCCCTCTGAAGTAAGCTAGGACCATAGGCACAGGCCACCATGCCTATCTAGTTTTCTAATTTTGTGTATAGGCAGGATTTTGCCATTTTGCCCAAATTGGTCTTGAACTGCTGGCCTCAAAGGATCCTCATGCCTCATACTACCAAGTGCTGGGATTATAGGTGTGAGCCACCACACTTGGCCAGACACTGTACTTGATGCTGGGGAGCCAACAGGAAACAACCAAATCTCTGCCCTCATGGAGCTTATAGTCTAGTAGATATTTTTCATGCTGCTGAAAGGAAAGCAATCCAAAGATATCTAAAAGCCATAAGCTAATCAAGCATGTGGCCATGGAGAAAGCTGGGGGTGGTACACCCACACCTTGATTACTTACAAATGGGTTCTCTACCGAATTTGTGTCTATTGGTTGTCTTTTAACTCCCTAACAGAGCTGAATCAGATGGAGTCTCAAATAAACTTTGCTTCCTTTTCCCTCCTCCCTCTGTCTCCACTCCTTCCCTCTCAAAATTAGGAGACAGCTTTAAACAATATGGTTTGGAATATTATGAGAAAGTTTGTTTCTGGAACCTGCCACAAGCAACATTTGATGGACAAGTGAGAAACCTGGGCAGTTAACATATGATTCAAATTTAATAACCAGTGAAGCAAGTATTAATATATACCCGAAGTGTGTGGTTTTAATTAACTGCAAATAATTCCCCCAAGGCAAATGTTTAATTATCTGCACTGCTTCTTATTTCTTTCTGAAACTGACAATAAGTTTAAAAGTCCAAATTTGGAAGCAAAACTGAGCACAGATGCATTTTCCAAACTGTTATCTAACTCATGTCAATTGTTTGAAACCAGCTCCCATTAAAATATGCTCTTTTAATTTTGGAGCTAAGATATCAATTGAAAAAAAATACTTTGATTTTTTTTTCATACTAACACTAAAAATAAACAATGATTGAAAAAGACATTATCTAGATCAGGCTAAATTTTAACTTTAAAAGTGTTTTAGTTATCCTTATTTATTAAAAATATTGCTTGATATTTAGTCTTGTATAACATTAATTTCTCTCAACACACTGTTATAGAATTATCCAAGATTTTGTATTTAGTTAAAATTTATTCATTTATACTGAACAGTGATTCATTGTCATTAATCATAATTTTACATAAACATGATTCTGAACCAAATATCACATAAGAAATGTCTTTAAAATGATGATTTACACTGACTTTACAAGTTTATGATCTAATGAGTCACATAAGATAGGTGAAAAGCATTTGAAAAATTACTCACCAGACTGTGTCTGCTTTGTCACAAAAATCTATGTCTTTAGCAAATAAACTATGTTTGTAATTTCAATATGCTTGGGAAGTTGCTTTAACATTATTAAGGCACCTTCTGATATGTTTCTATATAATGCATTTCATTGCATCCAAGATACCATCAGCTGCTTTTTGCACTACTATTTTATGTAGTATCAGAAGAAAATGCTGCCAGATGAACTAGAACACATTATCAATCCTACGATGTGTCCTGACTAGAAATAAAATATATGAAAGAATATGCATCTTAGAAACATGCTGTTTCAGTATATGTGATGCGTGGACACAAATATACATGTCTTATGTGATGACAAGGATTTCATATCCGCCTGGCTCATCACCAAACCCACAAGTTCACTTTGTCATATATGTGAGACTCTTCTCCAGAAATGATCCTACCTCCAAATACATCAATAAAGTAGGATGAAAAGCATTATATAACCTCATGACAATATTCACAAATAAGCAGGTACCTATAGAAGATGGTTTCCACCAAAGTTACTTTATTAACAAGGCTCTCTGAATTTCTAGTCTTATCTTTAGCAGGCCTAGGTTTGATTCTGTATGTTTTAAATCATGGATTCATTACATTATGCTTGGTTGTAGGTTTGAAATGGTAGTGAAGCTTTTCTGCTTAGAGGTGATGAAAGCTGCACTGAGTATGGACATGAAATCATTACTTATATGATGGAGGAAGAAAATACATATATTCATGATCTGAGTATTTGTGTCCCCCTAAAATTTCTAAGCTGAAGTTCTAACTGCCAAGGTGATTTAGGGGGTGGGGGCCTTAGTAAGGTGATTAGGTCATAAAGGTGGAGGCTTCATGAATGAGATTAGTGTCCTTATAAAAAATATTTTTAAAAAGGGCCCGGAGTCCCCTTACCCCTTTCACCATGTGAGGACACAGTTACAAGGCACCATCTATGAACCAGAAAGTGAGTTCTCACCAGTATACCAAATCTGCTGGTGCTTGATCTTGGACTTCCCAGTCTCCAGAACTATGAGAAACAAATTGCCGTTGCTTATGAGCCACCCTATTAATGGTATTTTGTTATGGGAGCATGGATGAAGACACCAGTGTATATGGTCACTAAAATAGCTTACTCTTTATGTAAATTCTATAAACTACTATGAAAAGTGTAGCTGCATATACTAAACTCCTGCAGCACCTTGGATTCACATTTTATTTAATTCTAAAAATTATCATTTGGTAATGTTCAAAAAAGTGTAAAACAGTTATCACCTAATTCTGAGATTCAGTTAATGTTATTTTAATAGCAGAGAACTGGAATTAAATTTACATGTAGATTCTGACTTTCAAAATCTTTAAGGTCAATGTCATATTTAAAAATTTTTTTTCAAATGCAAATGTTAAATCAAATATTCAAGCCAAAGGTCTGTAGATAGATGTGCTTTTAAGATTAACAAGAATAAAAAAGAAATACTTTCATAAATTAAAAAAAAGAAAAAGCCTTCACTTAGAAAGTTGAAAAGATTTAAAGGAATATTTAAAATAGATTAAAATAAAATGAAAAACCTCATAAAACAGAAATTCCAAAATGTAGGTCACTTTTAATGCAGTAAATTACACATATCTACATGGAATATTAAATGTACAGATTTAAACTGTGGTGACAGATGATGAAACTATTGAATTTTTAACAAGAGTATCTTAACTACAAATCAAAATAAATATTATCTCTATCTAAGATGTCCCTTTAGAACAAAATTTCTTAACCCTAGGGGATCCCTGAGTATGCTATAAAGGTCTACAGATCCTTTTAGAAGATGCAGAATTTGTGTACATATTTGTATTTCTGGGAGGAGATAGCTTCCACCATATTAGCTCTATGTATGACCCCAACAAGGTTTCAAATGACACTGCCATTTTATAAAAGATTTTCCAGACTACTTTGAGAAATTAGCTACTGAGCTTGATGCCTGCTCCATGAATTAATCAATGGTGGTAAATATTTAATTGGTTTTTTTCTTTTCTTTTTTTTTTTTTGAGACAGAATTTCGCTCTTGTTGCCCAGGCTGGAGTGCAATGGCGCGATCTCGGCTCACAGCAAACTCCACCTCCCAGGTTCAAGTGATTTTTCTGCCTCAGCCTCCTGTATAGCTGGAATTACAGGCATGCGCCACCATTCCCAGCTAATTTTGTATTTTTTAGTAGGGACGAGGTTTCTCCATGTTGGGCAGGCTGGTCTGGAACTCCTGACCTCAAGTGATCCGCCTGCCTTGGCCACCCAAAGTGTTAGGATTACAGGCATGAGCCACCACGCCCAGCCAAATCTTAAATTTCTTTTTTAAATATTTTATTGCATTTTAGGTTTTGGGGTACATGTGAAGAACATGCAGGATTATTGCATAGGTACATACATGGCAATGTGGTTTGCTGCCTTCCTCCCCATCACCTATATCTGACATTTCTTCTCATGTTATCCCTCCCCAACTCCCCACCCCGCACTGTCCTTCCTCGAGTTCCCCCCAACAGATCCCAGTGTGTGATGCTCCCTTCTCTGTGTCCATGTGTTCTCATTGTTCAACACCCGCCTGTGAGTGAGAACATGCGGTGTTTGATTTTCTGTTCTTGTGTCAGTTTGCTGAGAATGATGGTTGAACTCTTAAGGTAGATTTGACTTGAGGAAATAGCTAAGAAGTATAGAGATGTGTTAAATAAATGTGAAGGACAATCCAACTGGCCAAAACAAAACAAAACAAAACATGTTGTACCACAATTAGAGGTGAATATAGAGTATAAAACTGACT